GACTGAAGCAGGGTGAGCCAGGGGAAAAAAAAAAAAAAAAAAACGCACTTTCGTGGTTTGGCTGTTCACAGGCACAGGGCCATACGATTGGCCGGTCACATTCACGGTGACAGCACTGATAACAGGGGCTTTTTTTTTTCTTTTTTTCTTTTTAAGCCCAGGTTGTTATAGAGGTTGGGTATCAACCCAGGTGGGTACTGTCATAGGAGCGCTGGAGTGGAGCTATCCCAGTAGGCAACCAACCCGGTATTGTTCCCGACAACCGACTCGGAAGTTCTCGTGGGATGGATGTTAAACTTTGTGGAAAGAGATAGCTTAGCCTAAAGGACGGAACTTTAATTCTCTCTTCTTCCAGGTCTATGACATTTGGATATAGAAATCACGCATGTTATGGGCCTCTTTCCACTACTCGTCAAATGCACAAAAGAAAAAAAAAGGTGGTCGAGTTTCTTCCCGTGCTGTACCAGAAGATCCATTCTGCACACTGGGTGAGTAGAGGTAAAAAAACAAAAAAAAAAGGCCCTATACCTCCCTTTACCTCCAGAAGGTTATCGTCTTCCAAGGGAGTGGGGAACCAAACTGGTTTAGGGTTTAGGGTTCAGGGTTTCAGGGTTAGCGGTTAGGGGTTAGGGTTTAGGGTTTAGGGTTTAGAGCTGTGTGTCACGGACTTGAGGGATTGTGGAGTCGTGGTAGGTAGCTGGTGAAAGGCAAAAAGAAGGGCTAACTTCAGTAGAGTCACAAAAACGAGTTATAATTGCAGTATGGGGCAAGATACAGTTTGCAATTGCACTTCGGGCACCCTACCTGGTCAGAAAGCTGGGTTGTATACATTTCCCAGACTGCAATTTGAAACTGTATCTTGGCTCAGAGTGCAATTATAACTCTTTTTTGTGACCCCCAAAACGAAATTGAGAGAAGAAATAGTGATTTTTTAAAAAAAGGGATAAGTTGCGAAATACTCCCATAAGTTAAGATATATGCAAAAATGCCCCTAAAAGATGTGGGCAGAGCGGAATGCCCCTGTCAGACCCATGCGCAAATTTCCAATCTGGACCTCGCCGTTGGGGCATGAGGCTGCACCCCGTTTTACCCGGTTTGCCCTCCATACCGCATGGGCAACTTTCCGCAATACGGACGCCCGTAGACGGGGCAGTTTGCCTCCCTGATTCAAACTTCCGAACTGGTTCGAACAGTCTGCCGCTGCCTCATTCATCATTGCGGCTCCGCCCAGGTAAGCTTCCCCATTTCCAACTCCTCCCCGCCATTCCTCCAAGTTCTCCTTCTTTGTCACGTCACCATCTCCGAGATCCTCCTGCCCGCCGCGCCTTCGAAGTCTGTGTGTGTGTGTGTGTGTGTGTGTGTGTGTGTGTGTG